GCTTGTTCAATGTGGGAAGCTGTTTAAAAATGACTTTCCTATTAGAGTATATAGCTTAGTCTCTAGATGGAAAAAGCCAGATCAAAGATATAGCATTTATAAAACTGCTAGTTAAAAGATAAAAGTGAGATAACAGACATCAATTTTTCACTATAAATCTCTGGGTTTACTACAACATTAAAATTTCCAGCAAAAGTGGAGTTTTATATACCTGAACTCTAATGGCCTATTCTGAAAATATTTATGTCAGGAAAAGTACAGTATTTGCACACCAAAAGCAATTTTAGTGCCAATGTTTAGCATTCCCTTCCCATTTAACTCTTTCCCATCTACTCACAAGTGGGAGATGCTCTTCTCAATGCCTACTCTGTGCTCCCTCCCAGGCACAGCTTCAGAGGAGGGAATTCCAGTTGAATACTAAGCCCAGAAGAAAACACTTGTCATAGAATTTCACCACACAAAATAATTGTGTGATGACTTAGGGTGGAGTCTATAGCATGTTCTAAACCACTGTACTTCCATGCTTCACATGCAGAACTGCTCACTGCAAAGGGTATAACCGCCTAACAGAACTGAAAGCCAGGAACAGAGGGACAGGAAATTAGGCAACATTGTGCAACAGCTTAAAAGTAACGGGTCAAAACACTCTTTAATTATATAAGGATTCTGGAATAATGGCTAATAATCTATTGGTTCTATTTTGACATTAAAATCAGAACATGATCTTAGGAGACGCAAATGTCCCAGCTGCCAAAGGCTTCAACACACAGGCATTTTTATTCAGGGAGGACAGAGGGTGTGTGACACCCACTTGCACATGCACAGTAATCTTCAGCACTGCGGACGCAGAAGAGTACTCATTTTACCTATTTATTCTGCAATAAACTTATTTAGGAATAATAATGCAAACTAACAGCTATATACTGCAGCACACAGGACTCTCAGAGATGTGGAATTTGGTATCACCTCAGTTTTTGCAAATTGCAGTTTCCTAAGTTTAAGAAAGATTTAGCAACATAAGCTGATTTTCACAAAAGTTTTGCTTTTTTCCCCTACTTCACACTACCTTTTCAGGGTAAGCCATAGAAGTTACTTCTCAAAACAGCAAATATACAGGAGCACTACAAGTCTCTACTTCCCTTATCTCTCGAGGCTCCTAGGTTTGTGGGTTTTTGTTTGTTTGTTTGTTTGTTTGTTTGTTTTTATGGAATAGAATTAGATTTCAGCATCTGTCACCATCAAAAAACCCCCTCATCCCCGGCTCCCACATGAAAACATTGTAACCAATGCACAGCTTTTGAACCATGATGCCTTAATGATCATTACACAAATCAACTTTTTTTTATTTGAAGTAACGAAATTAAGAATGTGCTCTCAGAATTATTTGAATCAGACTGTTGGGTAACAAATTTAATAAAATGCCAATGTGATTAAATTCTAGAAGTAATGCATACTACACAAAATTTTGTGTGGATTCTTTTCATTTTGACTTATTCAGGTGTGCTGATTAATTTTTAGCAAACAATATTGTTAGCATTTGCCCTTCTTCCACCAAAAAACCCTGTGAGTAGAGACAAAATGTGCTAAACATTTCAGTTTTTCATTTCTATATCTTTTTCTAAAGCTCTCTTTTCAACGTAACCTAACAAAAAATATGTAGGCCTATTGTGAAGACCAAATACAATAAAAACATAAGACTTCAAATATTGACACTAGATGGTTTGCCGATCACAATTCTAAAACCCCCCAAAAGATAATATGTATTTAAGTAATTGGAAATATTATCTTCCTCGGTTCCTTAGTATAAACAATGTAACTTTTAAGGAATGTATTTTGATTTTAACAGAATCTGAATAAGATATTGATCCTGAAATATATAGGAATTTTTGAAATACAGATTGTGTGCATTGCTATATGGGAAAAGAATCCAACCAGGAGGAACCTCCTAGCTAAGTACCCAAACTGATTCAAATCCATTTTTTCAGGAGAGCCAAGTGGCAAATTTTGAGTGAGTCGGCAGCAAAGTACACTGTGAAACTGCAAGTATGCAAATCCTCACTCTTCTAGGGCAGAGCATGATCTCACTGATAGCACTGCAATCTCTTCCTGCTTCCATCATCCCATTCTTGTGCTATGACCTCTGCCGCATCCAGGTCAAATATGAGGACCATGCGTGGCCGCCAGTGCACCAGGCAACTGTTGTCAAAGGCACTTACACAGCACAAGGGAGGATGCTTGATTTTCACCTTGGCACTACCTAAATAGAAACTTCTGTAGCACATTGTTTAATAGCCCTTCTGTTCAAAGTGCTCTACTCAGCAGAACATTATCTGCAGTCTCCTGGCTCAGGTGAGCCCAGCCACCTTGCAGATGCTAGCTGCTTAGTTAGACACCCAATCTAACACTGACAAAAATCAGTTTCTGGAAAAATAAAAATAAAAATAAAGCCCTCCAGCAAACTTTTATCTTTGTCCACCCAGACACTGTTTTCAGTCACATATTCTTTTGTGCCATAACCCAAGACTTTAATCAAGTTAATCGAGTTTCTACATCCAAAGCAAGAGAAGAAGAATATTCATTTTTTCATTGGTGAGGTTTAAAATGAAAATTTTTAACCAACACATAATTTCCTACTATGTGTTCTCCAGACTTTGCATTATAACTTGAAGTGATTATCCCAGGTTCTCCACTCTGGAGCGAGAAACTAATATCCTCAAATTAAAGAGAACAATGAACCATAAGATCCTCTTAAAGAATATGTTTGAACAAGTCTCTAGTTCACGCAAGAGAGACTTCTTTGCCCCTAGAAATATTTCTCTTTACTATTTACAAGCTTCAATGCAGATTTTTTCGCATGACAGATTTCCCTTACTATACGTGGCTTTCCTACATTAGTTTTTTGTGTTTTTGTTTTTTTTTTTTATTTTTTTTATTTTTTTAATAAATATTGATTGTCTGACTAGTACTCAACTGTTAAGACAAGATCAAACACATTCAGTTTACCTACGAGGTTACTTCTGTGAAGCAAGTTACTAGTAAAATGGCACTTGGGCTAAATACAGCCTTGAGATCTTGCTAAATAAATAAATAAACATTATTTTGCTTAAATACAGGAGAAAAACAATCTTTGAAAATAAAGACAATCCCCACAATGAATTGGAAAAGAACTGTTTTCTCTTGTATGTTCAGTATACTCAGTAGCACAGTCTGCACAGAATTCTGCACAAGTTTTTGTACTGACGCTGTAAAAAAAACCCTACTCCATCCTTTGGAAGCTTTTGTTCTTCCAATGCTGATTTTAAAAGGGATTAACTGTTTCTTTTCAAATCAGAATTGGAAGAGTTTATCCAGCTAGAAATTTTAAGATTACATCCTTAAATAAATACAGTAAGACACAAACTCAGATCAAAAGAACGTGGAGCAACAGCTGAGATTCATACCTTAGTTTTGTGGAGAACAGCAAAGGGAAGGGAAAGGTGTAGAGAACGGACAGTTCTCCAGCCCCTGGTCTTGACATGTAAATAAAGACATCTGAGGAGCACACAGGTTGGGAGCTGCTGTAACATTCTATCATAATTAGAAACATTTCGAGAGCCCTGTAATTTCCAATCAAAATTACAGTAATTTCTGATATACAAGCCATGATTCATGACAGAAATTTTACATTCCACGGGAGATTATAGTGGCCTGATGTATGACACACTGAGTACAGCACTAACATAAACAATTCAGTTTAATGTTTAAACAGCACTTGGTGTTTAGAATCCCACAATAAAAGAAACATATTATTGTAGAAATTATCACTTTGACAGTGATTGAAGGGTAGGCAGGCATGTGGCCCATAAAGCTGTAATTTTTACAGTCCACAGCTTGAGTTTAATCATTTTGATATAACATTTCCAAACTATCCCTTTAAATGCTCCTTACAACATATAACTTAAGAGACAACAACCTTTCTGTACAGTTAAATGGAATAAATTCCAAAATGTGAACATCAAAAAAGTCAAAGGTCAAATAAAATTAAAAAGAAAGTCAACACTGGAATCCTGAAAGCACAAGAATGAAGGCACAATTAACTGATCACTGACAGTTTACCCTGGAAGATGCAGTGTTTTCTATGAAGAAACTTTAGAAAAGTACAGGATAAGTGACTGCTTGGACTTACCAACTAATCTGACATGAAAATTTAACATTGCAAGCACTGGTGTTTTAACCATTTCTATCAAGTGTTGACATAGCAGTGGCTTTAGTTGCACCCGTTTTTCTATACATTTTCTCAACTTGCATCTTGAGTACATTCTCAGTTACATCGATGCTTCTGCATACTCCAGTGATGTTTCTCAGAAGACCTGTCACTTATGATAATCACATCAACAAGTGCTCACTGATTTCCCTCTCCTGCCACTCAACTTGACAGAAATACTTCAGTTAAAGAAAGCAGGATAGAAAACCACACAACAGAGGCTTAAAACAGAATGTACAATAATGTGTATGCACACACAGGTATCCACGCAGCCATCCTATTCCACAGAGACTATACAAGCTTTCTTAGGTATAACTGGTCTGACTGTAATGTGTTTTTTTTTCTATACACAGACAGTTTCTGCCCCAGCTCTGGTGCACATCCTCAGAACTGGGTCTGCTCCACCGATCCCCATTTCTGACTCATTTGAGCAAAAATCAGAACTCCAGTATTCCTCATTAAGGAAGACAGAATTGCAAAATACCAAAGCTCTAAGTCTGCTTTAGCACCACTATAGATGGATTGCACACAGCTTTTGTCTTGTCCGTGTCAACTACGGGTTTATGAAACAAACTCTTTCAGAAGTGCCTGACTACAGAATGAAAGGTAACCAGTCCCTACCTGTGGACTTATACAAGCTCCAAACTGTGGCACTGTGCCGTCAGGCTAACCCACAGCCAGTCACTGAAAATTACACAGAAACAGCTGAAAAACAGATGGGGAGAAAAGTAAGGCTGCTGCGCCCAATGAACTTTACCTGGCTTTTGGTTGCTGCCACCTTTGCAAACAGTGCTTGAGATACCTTAGCTCTCTTCATTTCCTGCTGAATCTCATCATAAATGGAAGCATTAATGTTCATGGAATTATTTTCTGTTTTTCCATTCCTCTCTGTAGCAATAGTAGCAGTTTTGACCTGGAAAATATATGTTATGAGACAATTTTCATTATGGAATAGTCATTTTCCTCTCATTCCCTCCCTAAACAGTTCCCCTCACTGTTTTTTTCCTTTTATTCCATACTGCTCTTACATTCTTTCAGTTTGTTGAAGACTTAGCACTGTAAGTTCTGACAACTGGGAAACGAGAAAATTCAGCATATTGTAACAGGTGAATGCATCTGAAATACTTACCATTAGCTGACCACTGTGAATTTCCATGTCATAAAACAAATTATGTGCAAACCTATCAAACAGTCTTGTAGAGACTTGTGAATCTTTATGAGATTTCTTTGCCCCACACACAAATTAAGCAAAAATTATAACTGTGGCACAAAATAATTTCTACTGAAATAACTAAAAGAACAAAAAACAAAAAAAACCACCTAAACAAATAAATAAATATTCGCTGTTCACATCCAGTACACTCAATAGCATGGTAGCATAGAAAATCTGTTGCTTCAGATTTAACTTTTTAAAATATTGTCTGATTGGTTTAATTCCTAAGCTGTTTCTTAAAAAACAAAAAACAAAACAACAAAAAAGGCAATAATTGCATATTTCAATCACACGTAGAATCAAAATAAGGCTTTCTTAAAACTCTCAATTCTTGATGCATTTCCCTTGCATACTTCAGATACATATTTTTTCAATTACTTATTCTTCTTGAAGCCTGGCTTAAAGAAAAACACATGTAAATAAGACAGAATAACCACACTACCACCCCTTCCGTGTTTGTTGCATCTGCAGTTTATGTGTTATCAATTGAGAGGTAAAAAAATCAGCAGTTCTCTGAGAATGTCCTCAGAATATCCCTACAATATTCTCAACAGCTAAGGAAAGCACCTTTCTTTAGCAGCTCCTCTTGCAGCACTTGCCTGAGGTTAGTGGTCCTTCAGAGAAGACGAAAGACTGGATTTCTGCCAAGAACCCTCAAGATGATGATGCAAAATCAAACCTGCAGATTTCAGTTCCAACCTGCTGGTTCATACTGAAGTTGTTGGGAGCTGAATTAATTTAGCCATCCGGAAGTTAGCTGTCTAGTCTAAGTTAGTCATCCAAGCTACCTCTAAGTTTAATGAACAGAGCCAGGCAATTCCAGAGGGTGATTCAGCCTGCTCTCAAGGATGCATCTAAAACCAGTTTCACTATCAGTTAAATCCAGGGTACATCAGCATCTTTCTGTACTCTTAAGTCCCTTTGGGTTCAAAGGGAAATCATGACAACACAATAATTCATCTTCTAATCTCACTTTATATGAGCTTTCATGTCACAGGTCTCACAACAAGAGAGGCAAAGAGTTTTGGATGAGGGACATATTTAGGAAAATCAACACTCCTAGAAAAGTCACGCTCAATTTAGCTTAACTATCCTCCATGGTACTTTTAAGATAAAATAATCTAGCCTAGAAACTGGGAGTGCATGCCACTTTTGCTGAGCCTGATTTGTCTAGCAGGCATTTACAGAGCTGTGCTAATGCATGATCATTACTAGCAAATGTGAAACCTCAGCAAGGACAAGGTGCATGCATCCACCTGCCTCCTACTGGCAGGCATTGGCCTTTCTGGTGTCTGAAATCAGGAGTCCTTAATCAGAAGGAAAATGGAGAAAAAAATCCCTGATTTCAGCAGTTTATCAAATGTCATGCTTCCATCTGCAAAAAAATGGCACCTTGCAGGGGCAACCTGGAGAGTGAGGTATTCCTTTTTCTATGTTGTGGCATTTTCTGCGTGATGCTGCAGCAGAGGATGGCCAAGCCTGGGTCGGTGGCTGCTCAAAAATGTCTGAGGAATCAGGCAACAGGCAGCATGAGAAGCAGTGCCATGAATCTCCTCTTCTTCACACTTTAGGGTGGGGAAACACATACCTCATGCTGAGGAAATTTAGCATAGGGTTGCAAGAGCAGGTTCATCTCCTGAATATCATGCAGTAATACAATTTGAAAATTACAAAATCAGTGGCAATTTTATAATCTTTAAATGAAAAGGATTCACTAAAAGATAACTGATGACCAATAGGAACATGAAGTTTACTACTGGAGACAGCAGTCACTGTGAACATGTAAGAATCATGCTAAGTTAATTAGAAAAATAAAAGTGATGGCTTTGTTAACTCATCTTCTTGGACCAGCGATTTAAATTTTGGTGAAGTTATCCTTCCAAAAGAAATACTTGTAACTGATCTTGTAAGGTCCTCAGGGAAAGATAAGAGGATGAAAAGTATTGTCCAAAGATGACATATTTTGGGAAGAAAGCTCTTTGCTGTTGTGATCCTAATCAAAATGTCTTTTCTGTAAGCATGTTGGTTTTCTGATTACCACTCAGATTCAAAAGACAGTTTCATGTTGTAGTAGTACTTCATACAACGCTGAAATGAGCTGTAGAGTGAACAGCCAGATCATTAAAAACCAGAACTCATACACCTCATTGGAGACAATTTATATCGTGACTCTTGGTCTACACTTTTCCACGTGCAATTTAGTATGGATATGCTTTTAACCTAAGAGAACCATTGAAAATTCTCATTCTGGTTGACAAATCACATCTATTTTTACACAAGACAATAAACTCAATGGCATCTAATGTGTCACTGAAGTTAAAAAAGAAAAAGGCTCATATTGCCCTATTGCCTTTTGCTGATATTGAATTGGAAAACGAACAACAGAAAACACTAATATCTGCATCAAAATGCCATATTAGCCCACATATCTTCAGGAGAATGAAAGTCTTAAATTTATAAAATTGTAGGCTTGGGGATTACTGAGAGTTGTAGTTCACAGCCATATTCCTTCCCTCTCCACTTTACATCACTGGCCAAGTATAAAAATTCTTCCCCTGCTTCTTAACAGTTTCTCTTTAAAGATCAGGTATAGACTGGACTAGATGGACCATTGGTCTGCTCTGGTCTGATGAATTCCATGCAATAATGCTAATTAACCTCTTGGAGAATATCCATACATAAAACTGTTTCATAATTTATACATAGCAAGCATCTAGCCTGCTGTGTTGAATTTAGAATTGAGTTCAAGCTAGAGGCTGTTTGAAGCTGACTTGAAAAAACACCCTCCTCCACAAAAAAAAAAAAAAAAAAACAAAAAAAAAAAAAAAAAAGAAAAGAGAGAAAGAAACACGGAGACACAAAAAGCCTCAACATGCAACCTTAGGACTTGGGAGGGGAGGTAGAAAAAGAATTGATTTTGGATAGAAAAACAAAACAGAGCATAATCTCCCATCTTATCTACGCTTAAACACAACCTCTCACTCCACCAACACATATAACCACATTTTCTGTTTAGGAAACAAATCATAGATTAGCAATTTTTTTTTTTTTATTATAGTAATCAAATTTTGCAAATACTAAGAAAGGGAGTATTATTTTATAAGCGTAACATTCTGAGAATCAGAAACTCAGTTGGCCATCTCCCTATCACCAATCAATTTAGTCATTTAAAAATACCTGGAAAAAAAATAACACATCTGTCCCCTCCTGGCCTGCCTAGACAGTTATCTTCTCATCAAACAAAGCCAAGTACAGTGGCAAAAAATTCAGTATTCATTTGATTTTCCTAAACAAAGTAGAGGCTATTGTAGAAGGAATAACCAATCTGAAGTGGTTTTCACAAACATGGAAGTTCATTTCTTCCTCATCAAAACTGAAACAAAAAAAAATCTTTTACAACACATTCTCATAAGTACTCTTTTAGCTTGGGAACAAAAATCTTCTTTAATCCTGGTTTAGCTTTTAATATTACATTGTACATTAAAATTCATAAAGTAGTTCATTCCAGGCAAAACAAACTACTTTTCAGTTGTACTCTGCAAATAGCACAGGAGGTACAATAAATGCTGTTGCTTTCAGAACAGCTTTTATCAGGACAAGGTTTACTACTCCATTATTACTGCGGCGCCTGGAAGTGCAGTTATAGTTAAGTGTCAGTGTTTCCATTAACTCTCCTCCATGGTGGTTTTCACGGGGGAAGGAGAGGGTTGCATTTATTATTTTGTTCATTTTGAGTTTCATTAAAGTGCAACTTGGCACAAGGACTACCAAACTAAGTCTCAAATTTAAAAATTAAAATTTTGCTGGTGGTGATGGATGATGTGTGAATTCCAGGGCTCTAACGTGAAACTGCATGAATCAGGCATTATCTGCAGTTCCTGGAAATACAAGTGTGGAAGTTCACTGGTCTTCAAGCCTCAAGAAAGCAGTGTCCTCCTCAGTATCAGTCTTTAAGAATGACGTCCTTTCTCTGGGATGCAATCTGAAACTGCTTTATCATGAAAAAACTCTAATGCATATTTGTGGTCAGAAGCCAAAATCAAAATCTTTATAAACTGAGTAGCCAAAACTGTAACTCATGCAAGATTTGTGGATATTTCTTAAAAAGTTGGCTTGCTAAAATTGTATTCTGCTCTTGACTTTATACATATTCTGTTTTTACACAGGGTCACCATGGACCTCAAGAATCAGCACAATTTTTCTTTGGGCAATATGAGTAGAGAGAATAGTTTCTTCCTCAGCACTTCTGAAACTGAGGTCACTTGTTCTGAGGAAGAAGCGTGCATAACTGTAGGACGGCTATCAGCATATACAAGAAAGCAAATCTGTAACTTAGTCACCTGTCTGCATCCTTTCTCCAAGTTGAGGAGGAGGAAGAATCTGCTAGTATGCTAGGAGCCATCCCTAGCATCAACCTGGGGAACTCCATTCACCCTGAACACAGGTGTTGAAGAAGGGAAAAAATGTACGAATAAAGAAATAAAAAAAAATTTTTTTTTTTTTTTTTTTTTTTTTTTTTTGGTGTGTGGCGGGGGAGGAGAGGGCAGGGTTGGAGAGATTGAATTAGATTGCCCTGCAGTACCTACCTGATGGAGATGTGAATGTTTATACTTTTCACTGCCCTGGAAAAGAGCCTGACAGACAAGATTCTGCCCCAGGAAGTGGTAAGGTGAATAACATCCAAGGGAAAATTCTTGTGCACTGTCTGTACTCAGCCCATCAGCCAGTAAGATAGTAACAGATGTAACAACTTGACTGGCTCAGAGGGCTAAACACAGTTCTGAAAGCTCATGCGTTAGAGGCTAATGATTTCAATTAAAAAAAAAATTAGTAAGATTTTGCTTTTTTTGTTTAAGTCAGAGAGAAAGGGAAAAGTAAAGGGGACAAAGAGCTTCTTAAAGGATTTCCAAAAAGAATTGGAAACAATCCAGATACATTAGCTCAAGTAGCAACTAGTAAGAATGCTGTAAAAATGAGATAAATTTGGTGCAGTTCCTTCTAACTCAGCCACCAGGGTTTCTGCTTGGTGAGTTCCTACTATCCTATCAGACCTCCAAGGTCACGCTTTCTGTTTTTGCATGTAACAGTATGTAAAATTCACACAGAACAAGCCCAGCTGCTAAATGGTTAAATCTGCTACTGTCTGGCCACCAGTTGGCAACACAAAAATGCAAAATAGATTCTTTTCAGGATGTTTATTTTCACATCCTTCCGAAACTGATAACTTGCAATTGCAAAATAAACCTTCATGTGTGGCATATTAGCTTCCATTTTTCATGGTTTCATAGTTTAATTGTTTCAAATGTTACACTGGTCTAAAGACTTAATATTAAATATGCTGGCTGTTGCCTGAATTCTGTTGTCAGGATAAATGGTCTGTTTTGTCTTTCAACAGCTATCCAAGTATTTCACAGCTAAGCTAGAAAAAAATATTATGCTGAATTTCTATGCAGTGAATGTTAAATAATTGCTCATAATAATTTTAGTGATAATCATTTTGGTAGTTTTATTTCCTTCATATCAAATGCTCAGTACACTGTGGTCAGTTTTCTTGGGGTGGGGTGGAGGTAAGCAGCAATCAGAGAACTAGTTTGCATTAACAATTTTGCAGAATCCTGACTACTGTTTATTTCTGCTACAATTTGTAAAATTATATTTTCTAGGGCAATTATAAGAATAATGTCATTATTACTTCTAGCATTAAGTGTTGTACTTACTCTACTAAAATGAATACTTAAATATTCAGACCCAGGGTTCAAAACACTTCGTAGCAGCTGGAAAGTACTACATGTGTTTATAAGTGGATAATTCTGGCAACATGTTAAAAGTTGTGCAGCACCCAGACTTTGATGTTTCCACATTCCTCATCCGCCTAGGAGATAAAGAGCTCACATTTTGTTGAATGACAAAAGTATAATACAGTAGTTAGAAAAATGCTTGTTTTGTTCTATACTTCTCAAGTATTAGTCCATAAGGATTCCTTCTTAACCTGTTTTCCTTTTAAAAAGGATCCAAACAAAACTGTACGCTGTTTCTACTTTTAATTGTCGTGATTAGACTAACAATGCTCCTGAATGCCACTAAAAAAAATGGCATGCAAATGTAAACAAGTACACAGTAAAAAAAAAAAAAAAAAATTAAAAAAAAAAAAAAAAGACTTTATGTTTTGTCAATAAAAAGTACAAACAACCCTAAGTCACTCTTTCAGGCTGCAATTTGCAAATTTATACAATTTAAAGTGTGAATTAAAACCAATACAAGGACTATCTCTGACTCTACATCCTTATGGATGGTCCTGCAATTAACTGTAGTTTAGCTGTGAAATTGCCCAAGACCACTTGAGACAGAGTGAGACATTACCTTGGTAGAAAGAGATAAGTTAAGAAGGAGGGTTAGTCTTTGCTCTGATTGGACTCCACCTGGACTGTGGGAGTACGTACAGATATTAATCCAAACTCAAAAGTTGTTTTGAACACAGTTATCTATATTTAACTATTTCCTGCTAAAGCATTACTATGTAAATAGACTTTCCTGCTTTATCTTGAAGATCTTTAGTGGATTTTACAGACTAAACTCAGTTAATGATAGCAAAACTAGACCATTAGCACTGTCTGTTCTTTCTGTTAATATTTTTTTCTTTTCTCGTGAAAAGCACTATAGCAGGTCAGAAGTGACCTTCTGTCCTTCCTTTTCCTATGCCCTCATTATACATTACTTCTGCATGATCCTTGGCATCCATTAGAAATCAAGTAAATAATCTGTAGGAATTTGTAGCATTCAGAATAAATATAGAATATAGTTGTAGGCATATGCTTGAGCCTGCTTAGTTAAAAAACTGATCTGTGTTTATACACTCAAACATCACAAAACTTCCAAAATTCTCAAGCCTTGCTTTGTATGGCAAACCTAGCAAAGCATCATTCCCACATATCTCCAGGTCAGTTTGTTTTGTCCTTGTAAAGGTACAACCTTTAGCTAAAGCAATGACAGGTATTTCAGAATAAGGAATTTTTTTTTTTTTTTTTTTGAGTGTTTCACAATTGTATTTCTCAATTTCTCATGACCCGTAAAACGAGCATCAAGAGTTTCCTTGACCGACACAATGACCACTGAATTTATGCATCTAATTCTGTCAGACTTTCTCATTTGGGGAGAGTTAAAGAAGGAGTTGCACCAGATTTTACAGAAATCAATACGAGTTTCATTTGAACACAAACTAAATGAAGCTATAGTGCACATATGCCAAGCCTTCAGAGCAATGGATCATGCAAGACTGTTTTGTTACCCAGTTGTCAACAGCTTGATCTGACGAAGGTGACCCCAGCATTTTGGGAGGGAGTCTTATTTCCTAGACATTAGTTCAACCTATTTGTTTTCTGGAATATAATTCTAAAGGCAAGACAATGTGCTCTACTTCTGCCTTCATTCCCACTCAGTTTAGTGGTCCAAACACTTCAAAATCCCTGCTTAAAACTCTAACATTAAAACAACACCTGAGAATTACAGGGCAAAAAAAAATAAAAATAATAAAAGACAGTGTGATCCTAGACCAAGTAAAGCTTATGTCTCAATAGAAAGAGCAAAAAAACTCTGTGGGGGCCATAATAGATAGAGTTTATCTTTAAACTAGAAAATAGCTAGTAATGAACTGCTACTAACATCCACTACACTTCTTAAATTTAATTTGTGACATGCACTGCAAATAACGATTCTGTGAGCATTTAAAGAACACGACTGCAAAATCTTTCCTCTTTTGAAGAAAGGCATCACGCAGCAGGATATGAAGAAAGCACAAGCAAATCCAAAAGACAGAGAGAGCAGTTTACTTGTGGAGGCCGGCTGGGCGGTGTGCTTATGAGAGGTGCGGGGCCCATGGCAGAGGCTGCGTTCAAGCTCCTTTCCCTTTCATCCTGGTAAATTCGATCTCGTTCAGCTTCTGGCAGCTGCAAGAAGTTCTGCATAGCCCGAAGGTTTACGAGCAAGGACTGCGAGGCAGTCTTGGGATCCTCTTCCTTTCGGAGGATTTCTGAGAGCAAGCCCTGTAGGGAGGGGGAAGAGAAAAAATGCTGGACAGTTAGCCTGGTACAATTGTCCCCTGCACAGCCGCTGCTCATCAGTCCTCCTTCCACTGGGCTTGGAATGAGAACAGCCAAACGGACTATTAGATCCACACAGGAATATATTAATGGCAATTTAGGTAACAGAGAAGAGAGCCTCAATTGTGCTCTTAATTTTATTAAGCATCTGTTTTACATACAACACAAACTGAATCTGCCTAATGGGTCTCCTTCCTTTTACTGGCTTAACTTGCCATGAAATCTTTCACAGTTGCCAGACAATCACAAGAAGTTAAGAGTAAATAAAACACACATAGTCCAGAGGCATGATGAGGTTCTCAGGCTTCCCAAACAAAGCACACAGCAAACCTCAAGAAATGGCTTTCCTTGTTACTAGCAGCTTAAACAGCTCTTTGAAAGAAGTGATATCTTACACCTAATTTGAAATAATAAACTCATAATGTTATTTAAGTACTTCTTAATGGATCCAGATCCATATTTTTAATAAGGCAGTACTTAGATGCGAAAGTTTTATATTGGAGTTTAATAACAGGTGACAAAACTGACCACTGGCCTCTGAAGAGATACTTCCTCTGCTTTGTCAAGGAAAGAGAGAGGTTTGTCCCTCTCCTCCCACCGTCTCCATTCCCTCATCAGGACTACTCTAATTCTTACCCAGTCCATCGCCTGGGCTTTGCGTGGGCATGTGCTGTGTAGGTCCCTCATCCAGTCCTTTTACTAGCGTTGTCCTTGTCAGAGCCCAACAAGGATACACCAAAGAGAGGATTAGGAATGAAAAAAAGCCAGCACCCAGGGCACATGCAGCACGCTGCAGATGACAGCATGCTGCCATCTCATACAAATCACGCCAGGTTCCCTACATAACAACTACATCTTACATCTCAGCAATGGAGCAGGTCTGGGAGACCTAATTACTCTAATAGATGAAATATTTATGAACCTGTGAGTGCAACTAGAAGTTTAACATCAACAGGTTCTTAAAGTCTCCCTCCTGCCAAGTTCTCCTTTTAAATATATCAGGCATACAAAATGCTCTGCTGTCTTGAAGTAACAAGGTTTGCAGTAAGAAAACTGTTAATTTTTGCAAAAGCAAACATGAGTTTCTTTTGAAAATAAATGCTATTACCATGCTGGGACAAGGAGAGTCTTCTACTGTGAATGTAACAAAGGAACATGAATGTGGTATTAAAGAACACAACCTAATGCTCCTTTTCCTAAAGAGATGTTGCATTTAAGGAGGTGGAGAGTGTTCTGCTTTAGCTCGGAAGAAACGGTAAGACTAAGAGAAGCAATTCTGATTGAAGATATCCATTCCTACAGAAAGCTATGGCCCAAACATCAGCTCCTGCCTTCTTTAGGGAGTTCTCACGCTCACAGCATTTAGGGAAGCTGCCATCTATCCCAAAAAGTCCTTTCTTATCAGGCAAAAGCCCTATATGGAAGTGCTGCTGCAAAGCCAATGCTCCCAGGCAGCCGTGCTCAGGCAGCTCAGCACCCAGCACAATTCTGAGCTCTGCATTTCCACATTACTCTTCTGCCTCCCAAGGCAATGAGAATGGAGGTGTTAAACACAATGCTGTGGCCAGTCTGGTCTTCAAGACTCCATATGGGTCTGCACAAACAGAAGGAAGGTGGGATGAAAAACACAAACTAACTTCCCAGCACTGAGCCTGGAAAATAATTTGGAGGAGGATTTTGAAAAAAATAAAAATCTGGTGAATGCTTTCTTACCACTATTCTTCATTCCTCCTCCTTTCTGGTGTCCAGGCAGAAACTATTTAGGAGGTAAATAAATGAGTTACAGACAAAAGCATCATTTGTGTTAAAAGTTATACTAAATTCAAAAATTTTCTTAGTGATTAGTCTCAACAATAAACTTATTACAAAATGTGGAAGTTATATTCTCATCTACATGGTTTATGTACTTCTAAGTACTCAAAACACACTGTTATCACTGTTTGTCAGTGGTAGGGTTACACTACCCATCCTCCAAAGAGCATCAAAAATGATTCTGTGCCACTGGAGAGAAGACAAAGCTGTCTGCAGAGCACAAGATGTATGACTGAGGTGTAAAAATGCGTGATTTCTGACTGCTACTGTGCTGAGAACAACTGCTGCAGGATTAAAATGAAGAAAGAAAAGATAAACTCAAGTGGACTGATTCTGCACTGGCAGGATCTCCTGCATTGGCAGGAGAGAAGGCTCCTTACCAACAGCCAACCACAGAAAATGTCCTTGAAAAATACTTTAGCACATACTAGAAAAGAATTACTGGAATAGGTCCTTGCCACACAGTAAGCAGTTAAAGAAAAAAAAAAAAGGCAGAATAAGCTGTATTTCTTTTTTTTTAATAACTATTTACGCTGTAGTGAAATAAACAAAGAAAGTTTTCCTGTTGTTTTTGTTTTGCTTTCAGTTTTTCCTGCATTTATCATTATAACAATACCTGCAAGATATCTCTTGGTGATTAGAAATGGCATTAAGTCCTCATTCTCCTCTCTTTTCCCTACCACTGGTGTGAATCTTTGCATGAGTTGGGAGCACAGCAGAGGACATAGATGTGGAGAGAAGAGGGGAGATGAAGTAAGGAAGTGTTTGCTTTGAGGACATTTGAACCTAAAATTTAGAATATCCATGCAAATAACAGAAGATAACGGTGTAGTACAAGGCATAGTGAATGTCTTACAATACAGTATGCCTTCTCCTTCTCTTACTTTGTTCCTACTGCTTCATCTTTTTGAGCACCAAATTTCACCTAGAGAAAGTTAGATGAAAAGCAAAATGAGAAGATCCTAGAAAGAATACCCTCGTATCTTGCCATTCATTCTAAATGGCTTGAAACAGTTTGCTAAGCTGCAAGTCTTGGGGTCGCCTCCTGATACTGAACCTCAGGCTGCATAATACGCCAGTGCTACTTGGCCCAGAGGTTATAGGGTAAGTCAGAGGTAGAGTTCTCTTCACTCTTCCTCCCTGTTATTCTTTCACACTGGAAATGTATTTTCTTAAGATGCTACCAGGAGCCATTGAAAAAAGAAAGTTTACACGTTATCACAAGTATAATTCATTACTAATTGCACAAAAATGTTCAATAAATATTATCAGTGCTTTCAAAAGCTAATTATGAATTCTTTAAAAGTGGAGATAAACGAAAGTGTCTGCCAATATGAACAAAAACACTGCCTGTCTGGCCCCCAGTTTGTCTCCACTTTGAACATAATCACTGATTCAAATAGATTTTATCAGCCTTGTAGAACTTCAAAGCTCTAGAAGAAAAATGCAATTTGCCAAAATCCTCCCCAAAATATGTAGAACATCCTCGAATGCTATCTGCCTTCATTGCAGGGTGCTTAAGACCCATGTCCAGGTGGAGGATTATTTGCAGGCTCCACCCACAAGCCTGGATCTCTGCCAAATAAGTTATAAGCAGACACATTTATCTATGTCGCTTAGTAGCAAGAGGAGAGCTGTCATGATAGTGTAATAGCACCTTTTTACCTTTTATTCAATAGTGATATGGATAGTGTGCTTTTTCTTAAATTACAGTACGAAGAATTATATGAATACAGTGGCAATTTCTGTTATACTTAAGCAGGCAAATTTCTCTCTACCACATAATTTACAGAACTCAAATTCAATAAAACATTACATGATGGTCCATTACCGTTATCAATTTTGAATAATCCATCTTCATTTTTCATTTTACTGGAAAATAAAGTGTGCCAAAGACAAAGTGGAAGAAAAAAAAAAGTGCCTGAGAAGGTGGTTGGTGTAAACTTGGATGTTGTTTTAAAATTACATGGAGCCATTTACTGCATCCAAGTATTCTCCACTGAAATAGCTGTTGCCCAGAACTAGTATGGGCACAGTTTTAAATACACTGAAGTTTTTACATAGGAGAAGATGCATTATCTATTAACAAAATGCAATATATCCTGGCAGTTAATATTTTAAACAAGTATGGGGGTGAAGGAAAAAGGAGGAGGATAGAAAGGTATCTGGCACAAACACTGAGAACTACTCAAAAAACCCTGCGATAAAAAACTGTCACTTGTGGGAAGAGGAAAAATTACAATAGTCAGACATGGCAAACGTGGCAGAAAGCACTCCTCCACTTTTCACCAAGCTGGAGATGGAAGTCACTCACCTCTGTACAGCAGAACCTGAGCTCATGCAGCAAATGTTATGGTTGAAAGCGTACACAAACAAAGACAGGTAACTCAGCGTTACAGTTCCAACCACAACCATGACTAACAGCTCCTCACTGGCACAGCATGGAGATGTCACCCTGCTGTGCACCAGTTTAAGTTATGCCTCCAAGTCAAATGCCACACACACTGGTGGGAACCAAGGCTTTTCACTCCCTACCTCATGTTTGAATTTACTAATGCACTGCAGATATGAGAAAGGAGTTTGTTTACTTGTATGGGATTCTGGAGGTGGTTTGAAGGAACAAATGCTGATGTTCTTCTCCAGCTCTTGTAAGAGGACTTAAGCATAGTGAAGAGCCTCCAGTTTAATGGAAACCATGTAGAGGCAGACTGAGCCAGTGTTCTGCAGTGAGACTGGCACACAGCACTACCTGTTGATGCCTCTTGCAAAATGCCACCCGGACCAGCAGGCTGACCACAAAATGCCAGCAAAGATCCTGGGAAAAAGTTGAACCATGCAGTGCATTGCCATCACATGGGAAATACACTAAATTTATTAATAGTGCTGAATGTTAACTGAAATATAACTTACTGAAACTGACTGAATTTGCAGCTCAGTTTACCAAAATCACCCTAGCAAATTGAGAGACCAGTGAGCACATTTGGTAGCCAAGGTTGAAGAAAACTTGGGTCTGCTTGCACAGATCCTGACTCAACAAACTTTTCCATAGTGTACTACAAAGGGGCACTAACAGGATTCAGTCTGTTTCTCTGCAATCAGTGAGCCGAAATAGCAACTGCTGAAGGACAAATAAAACTTCAGAGCCCACTGTGCACTGAAGCCTTCCTAGCAGGACTGCTGTGGGATTTCTTGCAGGGAGAGGTGCTCCAGCCTCCAAAGCTACTTCTGCTCCTTACAATTTTGCCATTGTGCATGTATGGTGCTTGCAAGTTACAGCTTTCTGGATTTCCCTTTGATTGAACTTGCAAGGAACATTCCTGAGAACTGCACAGTTTTGAAACTTCCATGTTGAAAGTAAGGGCAGGGGGAAAATTATCCAAGAAGAGATTAAGAACGCCCTTTCAATTTTCTTAGGTGTGGCTAAGCTTTTTTCACCACATAAACAGATGATCATTAAAAAGCAATCTAGTCCTCAGAGATAATTTAATCTAATTCTTTCCTTCAGGCTGGGCACAAGCAGAGATATTTCTAGGTAACATTTTCCCCCATAAATAAAAAAATCTGGAAAATGTTGGCCAAATGTTGAATTACGATGCTAAGTTGGTAGAACTCCCTTCCCCCCATGTCTCCAAAAATCAGAATTTCTGTAGTTGTACTGTCAAGTGCAAGTGTGTAAAACAAGTGGCACACCAGCATCTTCAGCCAATTCAAATGAAGTCCATTTTTAATGCCAAAACACTAAGCTAATTTACTCTGAATTTATAATTGACTTCCTTCAGTGGCTTTTACACTGAAAGCAAATTTTTCCACTCATTTGAGAACATATCTAGACATCATTTTTTTTTTCCTTCTTTTGTTTGTGCAGAACCCCTAAGGTCTTCTGCCTTCAACAACCAACAATACAGTTCCTGGACATGGCTCAAATATGCTTATGGCAATATAAAAAATGTCAGTGGTATTTTGAGTTAGCTTTTTCTCTTAGAATACAGATTAATTTAAACATGAATTTTCACTTGTTCTAGCAAAAAAAAAAAAAAAAAGTCAGAAGATATTATATCAATGTTAGATTGAAGAAGAAAAATAACTTCTAAATAGCAGGAGTTAATAAATGCTGCCTAAACTTTAGTTACATGTGATGAATCCTTGAATAAAGTGTGACAAATTCTGAAGCACAGCAACCAGAACAAATTTAAATGTTTTTATGTAAGAAACACAGGTACATATACCTGTACTTACACAACTGTTACTAAGGGTACAATGACAACTTTCAATTTTGCGAAGACGAAATGTGCCTATAGCAAACTCCTCTGTGTTTCAGTGAGGCTTCACTCACATATTGAAAGTATAACTTATTTCTTCACAATACTGAGGCCAATGTTGCCTTGGCTCCTAGTATTTTTCCTTTCTATTCCCTTCGTTGGCCACATTAAATAGTAAATACTACAGATAGTTACGTAGCTAGCTGCAAATACTAATTTGATTAGCTAACACAATTTGTAGGATATGGGGATACTACTCTGTGTTCTTTCAAGTTTATTTGGTTGAATATTGCCAAAATATATTACATATATATATATTTCATATCTTTTGTTCTTTTCACTGGATTTTTTTTTCAGTGTTCATGTTTGAATTTCCTCCTAGTTTTGGGTCACTTTGAGTATATTTTTACCAAGCTGGCTAACTACAATGTCTTTAGAAGAATAAAACTTTAAGAAAATGTTGGTACTCAGAATAACATTGTTAGTAAGAAAAATGTCTAATAATTGGAAATCAGTATTTTCACTAGAAATCTGGCTCTACTGCTGCATTCCTCCCATTTCTAGAGCATCTTAGTAAGGCATGTCATATAAATTCAAGGTCCACTCAGAATCAATTGTTCTTGTACTTTAGATAACAACTACTGTTTATGAATGATAAACGAAAAACAGTATGAAAAGTGAGCTGACAAAAACTGAACAAATGGCTTCGGAAGAGGGAGTTGGGACAAAATAAACTGCTTTTAGGCAAGTCTGAGAAAGAAATAAACAATAAATTATTTATTTTCCCAATTATTTGCTCGTGTTTTTTTGCTCAGGTAAGATGGCAGCTGCAAGCCACAATAACTTGAAGCAACTATTAGTATTTCAATACCTTGCACTATCTATAGATAAAATATTACATGCTGCATTAAAAAAATCTCTGTTACTTATTCTTAGATACAATAACTGATGCTGCCTGAACCCAACCTAGATAAGTTGCACGAGTTCATGTATTCCATGAAATCTGGTCCTGAAAACCTCCTCTGTAGTTAAGAGGAAAGACACACAGACACACACACAGCTCTACAGATAATTCACCCTATGACTGCCTTTCTTTTAGCTGAAGGAGGATGTAAAAAAGTTGATCTTTCTCAAAATGATTACAAATGACATGCTGATTCAAATCTGGTACTAGTGCATATGAAACAGTTTTTATTCTCCAAGTGAGAAACATCAACATTTCAAAAGAATCGCAAATTATATATTTTTAATATACTCAATAATGAGCAAATACTCAAGCCCTAAGTTTAAAAACGTGGAATTCAAAGCAAACTTATGTACTTTTAGAAAAACATCTATTTCTTATAAAGAAATTCTATTTTATTTTCTGTTAAAAAACAGACTTTAAAAAATTTAAGATCTTATTAGTTACTCTGAGTATACTGACATTTCTTCCATAACTTCTGCTTGATTAAATTCCACGCAACATGGCATTAAGTTAAATTCATAGAGTAGAATAAATTATAACAGGGTTAGCTTCTAAAACAGGTGTAAAAAATAACACATTTTAGTGTTGCTTATCAGCTTTGCTAGGGCTAATTTTTTCTGCACTGATGAGCTGCAGTATATGCTCTGACGTGGACATTGGCAATCTCAGAAACTACAAACTGCAAAAACACATGAAAGAACACAGGACCTAAAAATAAAGCTTTCATTTTTTATTTTTTTTTTAATTAAGTCTTTTCAGAAAGTTCCTAAGAGTCACATTACGAAGACCTTCACCAAAAAATGACAGAAATAAATGCAAACAACAATGAAAGACTATCTCAGAGAGATACCTGGGAGAGAAGATAGGTTTTTCAGCACATGCATGTGGTCAGTACTGGCATACCTTCACAACACAAAGGCAATCTGTTGGGTGACTTTGTGTACGGTTCTGCAAAGAGCTGTTCATTTCCTTTCCAGGGAAGATGGAGAGGAACCAAGACATCTCTAAGAACTGTGTGTATTCCCACAGCTTTTATTTCCACAAGCCTATCACCCTGGATTTCTGTACGATATCAACATGGACACCGGTCCTGCAAGGAAGTGTGGTTCCTTGACAGGAGCTAAATGGCAAAATAGAAGTGAGGACAGGCACTTAAAAGGTGATAATTATTAAATATATGAATTAATAAGGAGAGAAAGAGAGGGAGAGAGGGAAAGAAGGGTTCTCCTAGATTTAAAAGAATAAGAAAAAAAAGGTACTGACCTGAGTTCGGTTAAAAGCCACACGTGCAAATACTGCCTGTGAGATTCCTGCTCGTTTCAGTTCATCACGGACCCACTGGTAGATTTCGGAAGACACCTCTGTGTTTGTTGAGACCTGCTGCTCCAACGGCTTGTTCATGGATCTACTGACAGGAGGAGGGTGGTTCAAGTACTGTTGGTTTAAGGACTGCTGGGCTAGAAGTCTGTTCACTGCATACTGCTGGTTCAGCAACTGGGCCATTACCAGCTGCTGATTTACCAGCTGAGGGCTAATGGGAGTAGATACGAGTCCAGGGTGCAGGTTTGGAAGTGGGGTCCGAACTGATGGTTGACTACCATGAGAAAGCTGAACGGGGGATGGAGGCTGTTCGGCTGTGTTCCCTGGGACCGGCTGCTGACCGAAGTTGACATGGTTGGCACCTTGCTGGGATAGTTCAGAAAGACTATCCATCTCAACTATGATGGAAAAGAAACATTGAAAAAGCCAACATAAGACTGAATATCACAGATTTCATTCTCCTTGCAAGATGTGCTAACAAAAGTAAATAAAGATAAAATAGCATATTCAGGGTTGAGCTTACAGTATTCTCCAGCCTAGACTGGCAGGTCTATTACAACATCCTGCTATTTGCCTTCAAAATTAATCAAAAAAATAATGGTGTAGTGGATCTTAAAAAGAAAAACAAACGCACAGAACCACTAACTGTCCATCATTGACACTAAGTCCTTGGAGGAACCAGCAGAACATCAGACCAAAATAACGTGTTTGAAAACACGCATGTGGCAAAATCACTGCCAGAGAGCTTTGCAAATATGCAATGCACCAATTTCTAACCAAACCATGAGTTGATGGTTACAGAGGACATTCCCATAGTGATTGATGTAGGGTGCTTCAGAGATGGCAGCAAACAACCAGGAAGAGGGCAAATATAGGAAACTTCTCTGTATGCTGCAGAAGATGCAAGCAAAATAGTGACTGTGCAGGAGTAAGGAGGGCTGTAACTGGAAAGCCCATCCAGCCCAAAGAGAAGCCCCATTGACTGTGTTACTCTTGTGGAGTCCCTGCCCCCACATCTGCAGTTCCCAGACACAGGAAATCTGTAACAAGCAGGGTGGGGTGTGGACCTCCCTATGCTCTGCTAATTTCTAGATGCTGCATCAACTGTATTGGACAGCTAGGAACTAGTATAATTTATGTAAATTACACAGATGGGCTGCTTTATCTTGCAACCATGTATGCATGTTTTTTTTCAGTGACTTGCAACGTGGTTGTTTTTTTTTCCTTATATTAACTTATCTGCCTTGACACGCCCTCCTTTTTAATTAACAACACAGTTTTTTAAACTTCATGAGTTCTTCCAGTTTGCCTCTTGTGCATGATAAGAAGATATAGAATAACTCCAGGTTAATGTAAATGAGTCACATTTTTACCAGTATGTCAATTCCAAAGATTTAGCAATGCTGGTCTGGAAATAGCTTTAAGAAAACAATTTATTTTAAAAAATCTAGTATCTTCATGGAGGTGATGTAGCTATTTTTTCTTATACTAGTAAAATCTATTTAACAAGAATAGTCAATATGTGTGCTTTTTATAGTGATTACAATCTCAACCAATAGGTATTCAGAAAAGATCACCCCTTTCTCCATGAGAATAATAACTGGAAGAAGACATCAGCATGTGGACTCCCACTCACAGCCTTTCATCCTCTGCTGTCCTATGTAGGAATGTACAAACATATCTTTCCCATGCGCTGGTTTCAATGCCCTCAAATGAAGGGACTATGAAACTGTCTTGACAGGCCAAGTAAGGAGCATTTTGCAGGGTATGCCCCACATTCATGGGGTCCACAGCAGATCTACTCCTACAATGGAGATGGAAGGACATGCTGTGGAAAGGTCTCCTTCTAAGCAGGACCTCTACAAGCATGGATCATCTGAAACCACATGCAGTCTCACCACCATAAACCCTTAGCACTGCCCTGTGTTGCACAGAATATACAAACTAGGTGAAGGAAAGAAGCCACCTATTCTTACCAGCAGAAAGTAGAGATCAAACCTATGTGAGCCATTCTCTTAGAACAGTAATTCAAGCAATTATCACAAAAGTGATTCATGGTCTTCATTACAGCCTTAAGCTATAAAAGGCGAGGAACCCATTTTTGGTAGATGAACGATTTTGCTTCAAATACTAAAAGCTAAGTCAATCTCAATATCTGGTTCAAATTGAGATTCCATTTCTTCATTCTACTGAAAGTTACACAGAAATTTTCGGACATAAAGTATTCAAAATTATGTTAACAGGTTTAAGAAATAGTTTTAAAAATGGACAATACAGGAAAATAAAAGGTACTATGGAGTTCATATGTCTCAGTGGCAGATTTTCTTATCCAGTAATTCATCAAGTTTAGTAAAACAAGCAAACAATTGTCACTACTACTTGCAAAAATGAATTGAAATCGGTCCTAAATTCATAAAATTACAGCATTCTTCTTGGAATGCAATGCTAGTTATAGAAACCTTCTTCTTTACACATACATTAACCAGAGCAAGAAAAAAAAATACATACATTAGAAAAAATCAGCACATTACAGTTCCAAGAACAGGTTTTTAAACAATTATTTTGGGCTGTAGAAGATCTCTAGATTTACAGAATGACAACTTTGCATCTCTGGCAACCCAATTCAGTGTGGCCGTTTCAATAGCAAATATTTATTTAAATGAATTCTTACACTATATATGTACTTTCTACATCTACTCATCAAAAGCATCCTAAACTTATCATAAAGGGACCTGGCTTCTTGTATGACTGTGACAGACCTCAAAGTGACGCGTGACTGCATGTATCCACCATCACAGCAATTTTTATTTTTTATTTTTTTTTTGCTTACCCATCATATCTTTTGCCTTCTTGAAATGTTTATACCACCTTCCAAATTCCTGACATTTTGCTGCTGAGACATTTGCATAGTAAGTGCTGTTCACAATGGAAGAAATCATACTCTGTGTGAAAAGGGGAGAAGAAAAAAATCAATCTGTAATACAGAGCAGTACAAGTCAAAGCACAAGTAATTTCAGTTGTTGAAACTATTACATTTTTATAGTTTGAGAATCATATTGCATTCTGATTCTGTTGTCCAAAGCTTTTTAAAAATTCATTAATTGAATATAAAACCAAACCAAGGTATATTATAAATGAGAACAAAAAAAAGCAGACGTACTAAAGGAAGAACAAAGTTATCGACCAAGAAACATCGGGCTGTCGGATGGGCTCAGGATGGAAGATGCTAATCATGAAAATGCCTTTTGTTTGTTCTAGTTCTGCTTTTAAATTTGATTGATGTTTCACATATCAACACAAGTTTACAAGCATACAGATACTATACTAACTCCAGAAATGCAAGCATTAACCCCAATAAATGCATTCCCTTTGTAACAATTACACAGAATAGAATCTGGAAAATCACAGGACCAAAATTTATCTGAATGAGTTATTAGCAGGGTGGTAAAACAAAATGCTTTCTAGAAGAATAAAATATGTATGCCACAACCCAAAACAATTCTGGACTTGCTTTTGCAAAATGGTATTTCAAATGATTCACGGAAAAATGAAAAATTCTTATTGTTGTGTCTAATTTCCTAAGTGGATATTAGCCATAAAATATATGAAAGGATGATAGAGATCTTTTTTTCCTCAAAGGTTCCTAAGATATCAGATAATTACAGTGAGAAATTTACCTTCTGTGCAGCTTTAACCAATTTTTAAACAGTGAAATTTACACTGTCTAAAACTTTCAGTTCTCATACATTCCTTTACAAAATCAATTAAGAAAAGGCCTTAAAAAATGAGGCACTGTTTCAACATGGAGATTACATTCAGTATATGATATATGAACAGCAAAATTAACAAATGTAATTTCAACAGCCTGAACTTTGTCAGCCTTCATATTTCTATAAGGAAAGTAGTTACTTTTAGCTTAACTACAAGAATTGTCCAGCATATTGAGAAAACAATGACATTCAAGAAGACAAAGCTCTGATTATTATGTTTCTTTGCTAATCAGCATGTAACATTTAGCTGTATTTCTGCTGTCGTAAAATCAATGTACAGTATGAACTCTTTGTTACACAAACTGCAACAAACACTGGAAGAAATAGTTCAGAGAGAAAATGCCATAAACATTACCGTAACTCTTCTCTTACAAGGCTAGTTCAGCTTCTAAGTAAAAGTATCTCAATTATTGATCACAGTGAAGTTGATTATAACCATTTGATTTCTAACACAATACTCAGTAACGTGCTATTTGTGGAGTCTCAGAACTGCTAGAGTGAGGCGGTGTAACTGATGCCAAATGTGGATACCCTCTACTCATCAGGCAGCTATTTTAGTGTTTCTCTGAATCACTAAAATTCTTACCATTCCTTGATATTAATCTGCCATTTCTGAAATTAACTATAAGCCCTTTGACAGTGGCATAAAAGGAGATTGAAATCTTAATAGAATTTAGCCTGAATGACCTGAACTGAGCTCAGTTAAACCCAATTTCAATTTTCAACATAATAGCAATATCATTAATGTCTAATACTTACAAAATTATTGTTTAAACTATTTTACAGATTATACCACTTTAAACATGGGCCCATGATACATAAGGTGTGACTGAAAACATCCTGTGAATCTGAATTCTATGACAAATTCTACGAATGCACCACTACTGTACATGCCAAACCTGTAGATCTGCTTGTATAAAATGGGGAACTGCAAACGCAATAGGCCACTTTCTCATATGAGATTAAGCACATTTTGTGGATGCCATTTAGATTTTAAGGTGGTTTTATTTTACTTTGGCCACTTAAGATGTCTTCTCCTGCTCAAGTAATTTTGGTAAGTATGAAAAAGTGTAGATTGATAACAATGTAGTAAATTACCAATTATCAGTGGATCTAGGATTTCCTATGTCTCACTTCCATGTCATTTTCCAAAAAAGATATGACAATGAAATGGTTGTCTCTAACATCCTCTGCTTCTTCAGAAATAAATTTAATGCAGTTAATTCATTTTATAATCAAACAGGGGACTAGTCTGTTTAAACAACGCTATTAGGAATTTTGCCTTTTCTGACAGAGTGAGAAACTATATAATGGTCTAATAATATATAATATATATAATATAATGGTCTAACTATATAATGGCTAATAATGGGATTTTACTCCATACTTTCTAAGAAGATAAAAAAAAAAAAAAAAAGCCATAGACATTATCTTCATGTTTTAAAATGAAAATTATTCTCCTTTTTCTTTGAGAACACTCACACAAAACTTTCAAGTGATATTACCTACGCTAAGAATCCTCATCAGAAGGAATCAATGATTTATTTACTAATTCACTGAAGGCAAAATTTTACAACTCAGATAAAATATTACTACCTTGTTAACTCAGAAAATAACTTGACAACATTGAATTTCATTGTTTCTATTCTTTATTTATTATCTTGTCATCAAAGCTGCTGTTAAGTCAGTGCAAAGAGATGCACTTTGCTGTAGAAATTCCTGTATAATTCCTACTGCTGTATAATATCTATATATTTCAATAGCAGTTTATGTATATATATAGATGCCTACTATGCTTAGGACTTAAAACTGAGTATCAAACCCTCTGAGTTAGTGGTATTTAGAGATACACACTCTAGACTATAGGCATACTGACATTTTCCTTATTTGCCTGGTCTTTACATATGAGGAGCTCTCAGTGTCTAGTCTTACGCTTATTAATGATCAAAGTAAGAATGGCTGTAATTGCAACACATATTAAGGTACTGTTGCACACAGTTATTCCTTATCTGCGAGACACAGAGGCAGACACTTTCCATGTACAAGGATGACGAATATAAACACATCATACAAATATCAGGCGCATTCGAACGCTTTACATTCATCAGTCAATCTCATTTCTTTTTCACACGTCGCCAAAAAAAATGATTGAAGGCAAAACCTGGTCACAGCTCCTCAGTCTTAACACATCTCCCAGAAGTTTATCCTTGAAAGCAAGTTGCAAGACTTCAAGATCACAAATTTCCCTCTCTCGCCTCATTCTGTCCCCCCCCAGACACTGAGCTTTCAGTCCTACTCTGAGAATCAGAAGATCTAGTCTGAAATGGTGCCACCTTCACAGAAATCCCACTATTCTGGAATGATACCATCTGTTGCAGCCCAAGTGCTCTTTTTTTAGCCAAATAAGTTAATTATAATTAGGCATCCAACAACTGTGTGGAGGTAGGGGTAGAATTCATCACAAAGTTCAAGCTGAGGTTTGTTTCATGTAGCTTGAACCAAATCCCATTCTCTCAGGGTTATTAAATATCAGAGATTTGAAAAAAAGGCACCATAGTTCCTTAGATAAACTGGTGAAAGACATTACCTTTCAAGCAGGATTCTTTTCCTACACCCCCCAAATAAGAATTGACGATACAGCAGTATCTAACACCTTTGGTGCTGTGTCAAAAGCTAAGGGAAGGAGCATCCCACATGGCAGGGGAAGGACCTGAGTGTTCCTTGCTGGCTGGTCACCTCAGCCAGTGATGTGGGTGCTAAAAGGAGGCACTTCACAGACATTTCCTCCAGCACTGTCCTCCGACCAGGTGAAGCATTGTTCGATCACCACTAACAGTATACTGTTGTCCTTTTTGCAAACCAACAAAAACAATGTTAATCAGGTTAATTCAATCATCTAAACCAAAACTGTTCATGCTTTTCTGCCAAATCAACCAACCACAGCAAAATCTGTTATCAGTGATTGCTCAGCTTCCAGTCAAAAAAGCTTTTAACCCCCACAGTCCCAAAACTTCCCCTAAATAACCTTAAAATTGTTTTTATATGGGCAGAATGAGGTTGTTTTCATGCCTCATGAAGGGGCAGTTGGGCTGCAGTATTTACACATAACAAATACGTACTGACAGGCTTAGCAGTGAGAAAGAGCAGTTTCCTAAAACAACTCGGCTGAATTAGATATTGGGGATTCCTTTGCAAATGAAGCACTCCCCTCAGAAGAAGCGTCATAACCCAAACTTATTTAGGCCTTTCAGGTTGTTTAACTAGGAAAAAAATCCAAGCTTTTTTGCTACACATTCATTGGTGTTTAAAGCTTCAAGCCTGCTCAGTGGAAGGGGCAATGGCTGCAACAACTTATTTACACAATTATCTAAATACGATTAAACAGCTGATGGACAAATATTAAACTGGAAAATGTATAGTCATTTCAGCTTAATGTAATCCTCTTTCTGTAAACACCCAAGATGATTTTTTTTCAACCAGAACAGTCCTGACATCTCATAAGCCTAAGGGTGAATAGCAAGAGATTGTTTTTGATAGTTATAAATATTCAAAAGACATGCAGACCATCTGCTTTCATAATACAGGTAAAGCAAGACTGAAATGGTGACTGCTGTATAAAAATGGTTCTTTTAACAAAGTCTTCCTCTCCTCGAAAACTATAAAGACAGATGTCAAAAACTGTTTACACAGGGTAATCAGGAGCGTGCAAAATGTAATATTCCTTTTACACACAGTGCTTGCTAAAGAGATTTTTTTTCTTTTTCTTCCCATCTGTGTGTTGCAACACATTTCTACAAGTTAAAAACATTTTTTCAAACAGAGATCTCATGAATACCCAAAAACATGCTATCTGGTTTCTGAATGCTAATTAATTTCAACTAAGGAATCTGATTTTTTTTTTCTGTAGGAAGGAATGCATGCTTCTGAAATGGAGCACTTCAACAATAACAGCCACTGAAAACAGAACACCCCGCAAGTTTAATTTTGCACTAGTTTGACACTGGCTATTTTCACAACTGTTTTGCATTCAAACCCGCATCTGCTAAATCTGGCTATAAGACACAAGCAGCTATTCTCCTGCTTTTCAAAGGGGATTTTATTTATGTTTTACTATCTATCAAGATTTCAGTATAAAGCTTTGTAACATCATAACGGTTTTGTCAAGTGATAAG